GTGCGTATGTGTGTGTATGTATGTAGTTTACAAGATGCAACTTTTTACCTTGCTGCCACTTGAAAATTTAATAAATGTTTTTCCCCTTTTCTTTTTTATTTGTTAACTTCTAATAACACGAAAGTGAGACCTCAAAACTTTTAAGTGATGTTTGCAAAATATACATTTGCAAACTAACAGAAATTGGGGTAATCAAAGTACAAGCGCATGCCGAGTTATTAAACATAGGAGCAGTTCACTTCATCTTCTTAGAGAGAAGATATAAATAATTCGATACATGTCATGTTCTAGCAAATTATAGCTTAACAAGCTTTTAAAGCTGATTTCTGCCCATCCATAAATTACCATATCATTAGCTTAATGCCATTTATGGCCAAGGCAGTTGTAATACCCAAGAGATTGTTTATGATGTAGTATCCACCTGATGAACCTACACGAAACATGGGCGTATTTAGCTGCCGCTGTTGCTGTTGCTGTTGCTTAGCTTCAGTTGCCCTCGGGTGTCAAGTCAGACACATGAAAGTGCAAACTGCCAAAGAATAGAGAGCCAAGAGGGCCGCCAGCCAAGCACAAAAAGAACACAAATGAAACACAATAACTGAAAAGAAAACAAAAACAAAGCAAAATATAAAAAAGCAACAGACAATTGCAGGTGAGCGCTGCTTAAAGACATAAACAACTGGAAAACATGCCCCTGGGGCCACAGACTGAGCCGGGAAGGCTCGGACGAAAAGATAAAACCGTTTTCAGCTATGAAAAGCGTACACACACAGACAGCATCCCACATTTATAAGCATTTAAGCACAGGGAGAGAGTGAAATACTAAAATAACAGGCAATCCGACAGGCAGCAAGTGGAAATAACAATCATAATATTCAATTATGCAACACTCGCTCCGAGGCGCAGCGGACTACAGTTGCCTGACCAGAGGCATTCGCTGCTTCTCCTTTTCCTCCTTCTGCATTGTTTGTGCTTCTAAATAATTAATAAACATTGTGTGCACTTCATGCAAAAAGCTGCAAACGAAATTACCAAAAATGCTGCACAACATTTTGCTTGCCACTCGCCACATTCCAGCTGCCACTTGCCAGTCAGTGCGAATTGAAATTACGTGCGATGCTTTAACAATTGAAAAACGGATTTAGTTGGCCATTTGTCGCGTCCGCTCATTTGTGCCGCCTACCTTAGAGCGCTTTTAATTGAATTGTCGTTTGGCCTGAATTATAGATAAGTCCCATTGACAAGTAGCCCAAATACAAAACCAAATAGTCGACCGCTTTCAAACGCGCTCTAGATTTATCTTAAGTTTGCCAACTTTTCGCCACCTAAGCGTCAACTGCTTAAAAATTAATGAGCCAGCGCCCAAAGAGGTCGCCAGCGGGTGCTACAACCAACCAACTGTGTGTGGGCGTGCTACAACGTTTTGTTAATCTGAACACGCACTATGCTAATGAATCGTGCAGAGCAGTGCTGTAAGTAGCAGCGAGCACTCTTAAAATGCTCGGAATGTAGTTTATAATTGCAAGATGTTATAATTTCATAATGAACCTGGCTGCCTGACTTATATAAATATTAAATAGATCCTAAGAAACCTCAGTAAGGCAAGGAATCATAATGCGTTGACCAAACACAAGCAATAAGACTATGACCAGCTGTGTTAACGATAGCTTATGCAGCTGCTAAAATATATTTATCCAAAATATTATAGATGGAATTTATAATCCTTTTAGTTACAATTTAATTCAAATTTAAATTCTGTGCTTACATATAAGTATCGAACAAATATTTGAAAACAATTAAAATCAGTTAATTGATTTGACTGAATGGAGTGGGTAATTGAAAAGAAATGATAAGCTATATTAAACAATAATGACTTAAGTCCTTTATGAAAAATAGTTTTTGCAAAATTTACTTAAGTCTTTGCATCGTGTATTTCGCAAAGTGAACCACATACTCTCCAATTAAGAGAGACTTTAACGCAACATGAATGAAAAGCTTCACAGCGGTGCTTCATGCGTTTTTGGGCGTCAATAGCTGTGCGTGGAGAAAGCGCAAAAATCAGCTGCGGCAAAGAAAAATTGGGAAAATCACAAGTTTCGCACACAGCAGACAATAATCAAAGGGGAATATCGCGAAACATAGTAAAAACAATAACTGGGCAAAAAATTGATGCAACAAGAAAGCCAAGCAACAACAAGGGAAAGAGAAGGAGAGAGACAGAGGTGAAGAGCAGACAGGGAGGTTGAGTTTCGGGCGCCGCTGACAAAGTAATTGCAACACGCGAATGAATGCGAAAATTCAATTATTTTCGGTCATTATTATTTTTTCAGCGTCCAAACGACTCGAGTGCGTTTTCCAGCACTGTCGCCCACCCACGCACTTTATGCAAAACGAAAAGAAAAAACTTTCAGCTACGTGCAATTAATTGGGTGCGCAGTTTGGGCTGCAGCCGTCCCCGCTGCACCCAGTTGCTTCGACAGCTTGTGCAACCCTGTCATTTAGACTGCCGCGTCCATTGTCTGCCCAGTTGGGCGACGTGGCCGACAAAGTGTTGCAAAACGTTTCAGCAATCGTTGTTGCTGCTATTGTAGTTGTTGTTGGCACTGCACCTCTTTGGAAACTTTGCTCACAAAAGGCAACTGCAAAAATTAAGTTAACTTTTTCGAGCAACGGGAATTGAGTAATTTTCAGCTGTAAAACTTTATTATTTTGGGTCTCATTGTTATTGTTGTTGCTGGCGCTGTTGCACCAATTGTACTACATGCCAACTTGTTGTTATTGTGTAAATGTTAATTTTACTGTAGCTGTAAATGTTGTCCATTTGGGCGAAGGTAATGGTTCGCCTGCTCGCTGCTAGCTGCGTGCCCCCTTCGAAAAAGTTGCACGCCTCAAAAGTAGGCAAAACATGCAAATTGCATTGCGAAAACGAAAGGACGCCCCTGCGCTGGTTATGCCAGGCAATGAACTAAAGCGTCGGCTAATTGCATTAATGAAGTGCAAGCAGCTGGCCAGAGTTTGCCAACTTGCAAAGTCTAATAAGACGGGCTCAATCTAAATTATAAGAAGTAATAATATATATATAATCTTAACTGAGAATTTGCTAAGCAGTTCAATTAACCTGAACACGTTAAGACTAGAATAAATAAATTAAATATAAGTATTGTCGATTTTTCATTTCAGAATATCTGTACAGCTTGAAAGCAAGAATCACTCAGACCAACTGATAAATAATTTATAGGTGACTTCCTCAGTCTTAGATCCAATTAACCAATGCCTACCTTTAAATTTAAATCAAATTTGTTACGTCCACTGTGGGATTATCTTAATAAAATGTATAATAGTTAATAATAATGTAGAAAATAAAATATAGTCTTTGAGTAGAGAGTTAAAGTCTAAAGAAATTTAACTGAGAGAGCAACAAAATTGTTTTCTATCATAAAATTAAATAGGAAGCGAACAGCCAATTAACAAATAAAAGTTTTTACAAACGAAATACTTGTCAACTGAAAATGTTTATAATTAAAACTCTTCAATCATAATTTTGTTTTGGTTTCTCCCGTCTGTTCCAATCTAAACGCTTTCCCTTCAATCACTCTCAGTCTTAGTCTATAAAATTTTTCCATCTCTGCTCTCTCATGCCAAGTTAAAAATGCAAAACTAATTTCATTTAGCGCCTAGCGCTTAAATCAAATTAAGAATCGCACCAATGACCAGACGCTGACCCTGGGGCCATACCCCCAACGGAGTTGCCACCTGAGCTAAGCTGAGCTGAGGGTAAAATGCTGCCACACGGCTCAGTGGCTGCAAATCAAAATAAAATGTAAATCTCTTTGAGCGCAGGGCGAGGCTTTTTGGGCGCGCTGAAATCAGTTTTAGCTGTCAAATAAATTACATTTCTTTTTAGCAGCAGGCAGGGTTGTCAGCCGCCTGCAAATATTCCGACAGTGGCTACAAAATGGCGCTGAACGCATAATTTAGCAGCCCATCCTTGAAAACTCACACAGCCCTGGCGGCGAGCATTCACTTGGTTTAATTGATTTTACAGTTAGTCGCTGGGGGCTGGGCTGTGGAGTTTTTGAGTTATAAATTTGGCAAGTGTCGATGGGCGCTTCGATTTGTTTGTGTTTGGGTCTGCTGGGAGTTGGAAGTTGGGAGTATGGGGTTGCGAGTCACGAGCTGGGAGTGGAGTGCTCGGCTATGACAACCCCGCTGTACACTCATTTGCACTTAACACTTTTGGCCATTTTGTTTGCCGAGCCGCCATTGTTGCCCTGATAAATAAAGTGCTCAAGTTTATTTGGTGAGTGTCAGTTGCTCTCTGTCTCTCGCTTTCTCGGTCTCGCTTTGCTATCTCTTTTTGCTGGGGGCAATGATGAGGAAAATTGCAAAATTCGGGTGCCTTTCGATAATTAAATATGCGCAGCGAGTGCTTGGCGGGCTGTGCACATGTGTCTAATTGGATTGTCGCAGTGTTGGCTAACGCCGTCACATCACAGAAGCACCAGCTCTCAACATGTGACCCACAGAGGTTTCAGACACACACAAAATTTCGTTGCGCTATGCTTCTGCCGACAAAAGTTTTTAATGAAGTTTCGGCGTTCTTAAAAACTTTCCGCTCGACGACATGTTGCTCTCTATTTATTTTGATTTCTCTGCGCAAGTTGCACACAACACTGGCTAAGCGGCTGATTTTGTCGGTGATACGCTTTTAATTAGTGGCGAATGGCGTTGCCACCAAACTTTTAGTCTCAGTTGATGCGTTGCCGTACAGTTGTGTTTATAGCTGGCTTAGCCAAAGTACAGTTGTGCACGAGTTGGCTTAGCAACTGTGAATTGGGGCATGGAGAGTTTGCCAAGCTGACTTGAGTGGTCCGCAAATAGCAAACGACTCTCAAGAAATTCCAAAAGTTAATAACGAAAGCAATTAGAAGCATACAAGTTAAACATAATAATTAAACTTCCACTCACTTAACCCCCTCCCTCGCTCACTCCATTTACAGGTGCGCCCACAGTGGTTGCTTTGAATGCCACGCCTGTTGCCTACCCAGGCTCACCTTTGCACCTCAATGTAGAGTTCTGTGCCAATCCACCGGCACACGCGGCACGCTGGCTGCACGGCGATCGTGTCTTTACGCCGGGCAATCAGTACGGCAGCACCGTACTAGCCTACTCGGTCAAGGTAGGTAACTCGATAAGCTCTGTGGGCATTTCTGTAAGAACAAGTTGCTTTTCTTCTAGGATCTGCCTACACCGTACTGCAAGGAGGCACGTTTGACATATGTCAGCATGCATGAGCGTGTGCCGCGAACCTTCTACTTCATTGTTTCGTCGCCAGGTGGTGTTGCCGAGGCCGTCTTCAATGTCAACTTTACGAAGCGCAATCGCCAAATGTCGAACACCATCGACGACGATGAGGAGGAGGAGCTCAATCGGCCAGAGCAAATCCATTTTCCGGTTTTCAGCAATAACACGTCGAGCGGACGGTGCACGGAGCTCCAGCTGGCCCTGGCGCTCACTCTATTTGGTGCCACGCTTCTGCATGCCCATTAATTTTTAATGAAAGAGTCAAAGTATGAAAAACACAAAGTGCGAAAGAGAGAAAGAATGTGCAAGTGAATGAGTGAAAGAGAGAATGTCGACTATTAACGCATGCAATTTATTATGCTATGTACTACGTACTACCCACTATGTCTAAGCCCATATATACATATAACTATATATCTACTATATAAACATATGTACTACTATATGCTATTGCCCACAACTACTACCACTACTATTACTATTCTAACGCTATGTGTATGTGTATTTGTAACCAATTAGCAAAAGCATCAAAATGAAATTATGCCACTTAAACCCCCTCCAAACCTCCTACCACTAGCAACTAATCCACACACTCACTCACACACACACATTTTGTAGGCGTCTAAGTTGGCAACTTCAACTTTTTACCTAAGCATTAGCCACAGCTCCCCACACTAAAACACACTAATACTTGATATTTTTACTGTAGCTTTAAGTAACTGTAACTGTAACTGTGTGTGTACGTGTGTAGTACTTAGTAGCAGCGCTTAACTTGAATGCCAAATAGAAAAGAAAAAAACAACTAAATTAACATTAACTATTTAAAACGAAAAAGAAGAGAAAATACTTTTGGGTTTATCTATTGTTAAAAGTTGAGCCATACATACCATAATTATTGTACTTTAAGTTCCTTTTCGAGAAAACAAGCGAGAAGCTTGCAAAGTGACTGATTTTTGTTAAATATTTTGAAGCAATTAGTGTTTAGAGTGTAAAGCAGTTAGGGAGTGCTTGAAAAAAGAAACAAGAGTTAATACTAAACTTTAATGTAAATGAAAAGCAAGTAACTTACCAGGCACGAACAAATTCCTTCCATTTGAATTTTTGCGCATTCGAATAGGCAAAAAATAAGTATAAACAAGCTGTAAGATATTTTCAAAAGTTAAAAAGATCAAAATTTATATATATATTAAAATTAAAATCAATTAAAAAATTTGATCAACTTATTTGTTAGGTTAACTTAATACGATTATTTGGGTAATATATAAATTGTACATTTAAAAAATATTTTACAAAACTAAGCTTCAATTTAACAAACCGTAAATATACATTTTGCATATTTTGCGAAATATTTAAATCCCATTTATTTCTGGTTCTATAAATTATTTTAAAAGGATTTAATTGATTAATTAATAATTTTATATATTATTATATATTTGTTTATTTGCCTGCATTATTACTTTACATAATTTACAAGGACCAAAAAACTCTTGAAATTTCATTAAAATTCATATTTTTGAAATATATTTAAGAACTTAATATATATTAATGGTAAATTAGCTCCAAAAAAAACATAAAAGAAACCCTCCACACAAAATATACCGTGTAAATAAATGTTCAAGCAGAAAACTGCTCAAAAAAAAGAAAAAATAATATAAAAATTAATTTAAATTAATACCAAAATTCAGAACAATATTATATATGTAGCAGATGTTAAATGTTGTTTGAAAATGGGCATCTGTAGTGGCAAGTTGGATTGTCCATAACTAAATAAAAATAAATATTACGAAAAATATATAATATAGCAAAACATTAAACTTTGCGCTATTGTAAAATAAATATTTTCAAACCCCCAAAATTAGAGCTGGCAAAACTTTTTGTGCGCCACTTTTTCTTTTTGTGTATAAAGCCAAAGCTTTTGTAAATTATTTCATAGAACATCTTAGCTATATAGGCATATAGATATATATATTATATTGTGTGCGCCATATTAAGTACTAGTACGTTTTAAGAGATCGATGTAAAAATGAAAAAGAATTACTTAGAAGAACCTAACGCCAATTTAAGCAAGAACAAAACTCAAATTGCAAACGCAAACACTTACGCAGAGTTCCAAGAATTCCGCGAATAGAAACCAGTTGAGAGCGTTTTAAGCATTGTAAAAATATAATTTATTATTTAATTAGAAATATGCCAATATGCATATGCATAGCTGGAAATATACTTATGTATGGATAGCCTAACTGTATGTGTGCCATGTTAAATTGAGTTAAAAGTTTTTTGTTTTTATAAACGAAAATTGCGAATTGTATTAACAAAGCAAAAACAAACACGTCGTCATGTTAACTAACAAAATTAATTATTAACAAATGAAAATTATGGTATTATATATATATATATATAAATATGAGTATATATATAAATTACAAAGAGTGGTCAAATGCATATTGTATTTATTATATGATTAATTATTATAATAATATTTACAAAATATTATTTATTAATAAAAAAGCAAACACATATAATACCATAATACTTAGTATTTAAGTGAAACAAAAAAATTATGTGGCAAATTAATTTTTAAATATTACAGAATATATGATTATAAATAAAAACAAACAAAAACGCAGTTCGTTTGTAGTGCAAAGAAAATGTGTGGAAAAAATAAATGAAGAACAAGAATAAGAAGAGAAAGTATGCATACAAAAATACAAAAATACGAAATACAATAAGCAAAGGTTTAAGTCATAGGCCCAAGATAAAAGTAAACAACCACCAAAACAAATTTTTAGCAGTACGATACGAATACTAAAGAAATACTGGGTCAGAGCTAACCCAGAGACGGAAGAGAGCAGAACAAATACGAAATCAAAAGGCGCACCAACAGAATTATATATAGATATATAGATATATAAAACATGAATGCTCAGACCCTGCCCTGGAAATCAATTGCATCGCAATGGTTCAACCGTAGGGCCAACCAATAACTGTTATTTAAGCCAGAGAAGATTGCAATAGGATGGCGCGGATCGCAAAATTTACAAATTTAAGACACAAAGCAACAGACAAAATAGCCAATTTAGCATAAAATACAAATAAAAGTAAAACAAAAAGGAAAAAATAAAAATAATAATAAAAGGCAAAGCAAACCAAAACAAACGAACAACAAAAAACACAAAATGAACATGAAATAAAATTTAAAAATAAAAATGCAAAATAAATGATTTGAGTTTTTATTACTTGCGACGGAGGGAGAAACTTTGTCTTAGGCTGATGTAGAATTCTAAGTATACACAAGAAATAAAGTTAAGAGTAATTACATAACGATTAGCTTACTCTAATTAGAAATAAACTACGAGTGCCGTCATAACATGATCAAGCCGACGCACTGTGAGAGCGCAAGAATAAAAATAATGAGAATAGGGAAGAACGCAGCAAGACTAACCAGAATTTCTTTACAATAAAAAGTTAAATCTCGTTGCCGCTCTTAAAATAAAAAGCTAATCATATCACTGGTTACAACGCCCAGCATCGGCTTCTTTGCCTCTTTCTGAACGCAATATAAAAAACTCTTAGTCTAAAAAATGAAGTTAAGTAAGCTTAAATTTAGTCGAATTGAAAATGAGCCTGACTTGCAAATTTGCCAACCAATTTTATATAAGCAACGTGTAGCCAGCTGTGGCCGGCTAATAGATACTCTTCAGCAAACATAAGTTGAAATAGCGCCAGGAGTAGCTAAGAATAACATTTGAATTCACAGTTCTGAGCAGTTGAAGCTAATCAAGAGAATATTTAATTCATGAACTTGTTTCTCATTGTCTCATATATTCTAAAAGTATATGTAATTTATCTAACGTATTTGGCTGCTTGAGTTTTGATTGAGGTTCATGATTATTAGTCTTTTAATAGCTATCACAATTAGCCTAAACAATTCCTTGATGCAAGCTGACATTCAAGCTTAATCAGCAAATCAGCTCGACCACTGCGGGTAGAGTGTGCGTAACAATTGGCAACGTACGTGCAACCTGAAATGGTAATGAGATTCAGTAAAGATTGCAATTGCGCTTGCAACGTGCTGCATGTTGCAGCATTCAATTGCATCAATATCAATCAAAAGGCTGCGCAACGACGATGCGGCCAAACGAAAGGGAAAGGCTGCAGCGGATCGTTGTTATGGGGAATGCGACAAAAAGGGGAACGGCGAGGTGCTTCGAGGACGCTTTGGGGCAACGCGACATATTCCGGTTTTCATTTCGTACATTGGCCCAATGCGTTGTCAACATGGATTGTGTATGTATGTATGGGTGTTGTGCCTCTGCGTCTAGCAGCGTTGTTGTGGTCGGGTTTATTACTTGGAAATCAAAAGTACAACGACTCCGCAGGACAGCATAGTCAATAACGATACCATTGGCAATATGGTCATGTGGCAGTGACAGCAACTGCTACACTTTTTGGCCTAAAGAGTTGGCCAGCCAACCTGTTTGCAGACAACATCAACATTCGGTGGCAATGATAACGACGACAGCTAAGCTGGCTGGTGGGATGGTAGGTTGGCAGGTGGACAGGCGGGCATGTGGACTGTTAGCCGGTTTGCCACTTTGCGGCGCTAATGACGGCCAAATAGCCAAGGCGCAAGATTACACGAGTTGTTGTTGCGGGGGCGTACCGTACCGCCTTCGCTGCCTTCCAGTTTATCAACTTTGCTGGCAATGACCAATTGAAATTCCTTTTCGGAGTGGAATAAACTCGTAATGGTCCCGGCGATACATATCTGGCCAAGATGCCAAGCGGCAACTAGCGCTAATGTCGACGCACGCGCCAAGCAGCGAAAGGTGCACTGTTGCCTCCTATCTACTATATTGCACCGATGAGAGAAGCTGCTCCGAAAGGGGGCGCGGTGAGCCATGGAAACACCACAAACATCCGCGATTGCCAATTGGCATTGCTGTGCACATTTCTTTTTAATTGTTGTCATGGCCAAAGCCAGCCACAAACTGGCTGTCCAGTTGCCAATTGGCGCCGCTGCTCACATTCATTTGCCTAAGCGAAGCGCCCCACAAGAGGAACCAACACTTTGCCAACAACAAAAATTCATAAGCAACAATTATGTATATCCACATAGCCATAAAGTGACGGAGTTTATGGTGCGGTAAAGCTTAAAGCGAATCAACCGATTGATTTATACATCCATCTATGGATCCAGTCGCAAATAATAAATAGTTTTTTTTGGGCGTGGCTGTGTCGGCGCTAAATCACGCAGGCAGAAAAGCAGCCAACAGCCTTATTTTGCGATATTTAATTTTGACGAAGTTACCGCAATTGGTTTGTCTTATAACAAATTTGTCCATTTCGGGAACTATGGGAAGTGGCCATTGGCATCTTATAATTATGTACATTTTTTGGTTACATTTTGAACTATGTGCAATTTTTTATTATATTTAAGTTAATGATAATGGAAAGGGTTCTGTTGTATGTATATTTTATGGTATTTTCTTAGTTTGTTCTTTTTTTTATTTTATATAAAAACAATAAATATTTTATTTGGTTGTTTTCAAGATCTGATACACCAAATGATATTGAGCCCAACTAATTTTAAGCTGACCACAACGAATCATAATCTGCATATTAATTCAGCTATATATATACATAGCTGAATAAATATGCAGTTAAAGGAGACGTAAATATATATGAACTATACATATATATATATCTATATGTTCATATATATTTACGTCTCCTTTTTCTGCGCTTGATTGCAGCAATTAATTTATAGAATCATTTATACTTAATTACATTTACCGTTGCACTCGTTGCTGCCTTGAGGCAGTTTATGCAATTTCTGTTTTCCGAGCACTTTTCATTATCCGCACTTTTATGCGTACAAATTTATTAAGTTGAGCGCGTGCGACTCTATGGCGACTTTAAGCGCGCTTAAAACGCTGACAATTAATTCAGTACTCGGCTGATGCGGCTGCTTCTTTTTCTTCTTCTTCTTTGTCATCTGCTCATTGGCGCACGCACAAATAATTTTTTATACACTTTTATGAAATTTCACAGTTCAATTAATGCATTTTAATTTTAACTTTATTTTCCAATTTACTTCACACAGTTAAACGAGCGACGCGGCAAAATCGCCGACAACGGGCCAATAATGTATATGTAAAAAATTAAGGATAAAAACAAAATATATTGAAAAAATATTGTACAAAAAAAGGCAACGCTTGCATGAAAGCATGAAATACGAATACAAAAATTGTTAACGCAAAATTAAAAATGGTTTTTGATTGATTGTTGCATAAAATTGGCTTTCGGTCCGAGTCCGGCCACCGCCGATGCCTTCCCATTCATTGTAATTACCTTTTGGCTCATTTTATTTGCCCTGCGCACTTAATTAGCACGCCAAAAAGGGAGGCTAGGCTGGGCATGGCGGGGAGGACCGGGCGGGCCTTGGCGTGGCCGGGTGTGGCAGTCGTTACTGGTTGGCTGGCCATAACGCTTCGATGCGCTTTTTGGAAATACAATGAGTAAATACCAGAAATAAAATAAAATAAATTGCTTTTAATAGATTTGTCGGAGCTTTCCCAGGGCTTTTACATTAATAAGCTGCGGCGGAGGCATTCCAATAATTTCCTTTGCAATTTTCGCCGATTTGGTTTTCGGTTTCCCAGCGACAAGTTTGACCATGCGGAAGGAAGTTGATTGTCAACCAGCAACAGCTACAGCAGCTGAAAAGTTGAATTTAGTTACAATTTGGCCAGATGCTGAGACTGCACAAATTAGCCATCAATAGGCAACTTGGCCAAGCAGTGCGGTCGGTGGAGGGGCCACAGTGCGAGGCGTGGCCTGTGCAATTTATGAGTCGCATTTCCTTCAACAAAAAACACACGAGTCGCTTGGCATGCGGCTTGTTCGCCTGGCTTAGTTACATAATCTCAGTATCCCAGTCTCTAGCTCTTTAATCATAATTGTCTAACATACACACGCACACTCTCTTAAGCTGGCAACGCATTTGGCTGTGCGGAAGACGCAGAGGAAACACCATCCAAAATGACACCAAGCACAACGATTCGGTGAAAGCCACAATTGCCCGCAAATAATAATTGCTCATGGGAGCTGTGCTCATGCTGCATGCAACATTCTCATCGTACGCGCACTTAAGCTGGCATTAATGAGATGCATTAGATAAGTAGGCTCCATTAAGATCAGATAGTCAAGCAGCTTACGTTGTTTTTTCATGTATTAAATATAAACACAAAGCGCTCCCATGCCTCATGACATTAAAAACTATTTAAAAGCTTTTTATTTCTTTTTTATTTATATGAGCAACTGTTATTTCTTTAACTTTGCAAGTCATAATCTTAAAGTATTTATATGTTGTCTTTTAAGCATAGAGTTTTATTATAACAGATTTTTCAAAACACAGAAATCTTACTATATATAAAATATAACTTTGTTTATCTCGAAATCAGTTTCATTTATCGATAACAATTTTTGCACCGCTAAGCAATCATTATCCATGCAATAAATGAAATAAATAGCTGCAAACGCATCATGAATATTTTCATAAATCAATAGAAATACGCGTATAACGGTATTCCGGTGACGTCCAGAGTCGGGTGCGTCGCTCAGGTGGCATTCAACCAAGCTGGTGGCACATGAATCAATCAGGTCCAGATGTCTAATGCCTGACAATAAAAGCAACAAAAGCTGTCGAATGTGGCTCATTAAAATTTAATGGAAATTGTAAAACGTATCATGAAGAAAAAACACAATTGGCATCAAGCAAAACAATGCGAGCAGAAAAACTGCAGGTGATCAAAGACAACAATAACAACAACAATAGTCATAAATACCGGCACAAGTGTAATAACTATATGTGAGATAATACCATAAACAACAGCAGCAGGCAGAAGAGCAGCTTCAGTCAACAGTAGCCAAGGGCGAGCGGTTGGCTGGCAAATGGCAATGACAAGGGCTTTCACTAGCGAATGAGTTTTCTTTATGCTTACTGTTGCTGTTACTGCTGCTGCCGTTGCTGCTGTTGTTGTTGTTATTGTTGCGTTTTCCACACAATTGGCCAAAGCGGCGGCGGCCAGGCCAAAAAACCTGTTGCACAGTTTTCCCGCATATGCTTTTTGGCAGGGTCAATGCTGCCGTAGAAAGCAATAAAAAAATGTCATTGCAAAGGCGGCAGCAAAAGTGAGAGCGAGACAGACAGATAGAGAGTGAGCGGAAGAGGGCGCTAGGCAGGGAGAGCTGCGCTTGCGCAATCGCCGGCTGGACAAGTTTTGTGCTACACTTTAAGGATCGACAGCATCAACTGCCGCAACAACAAGCCATACTTCAACAACAACAACAACGGCAGCACCGTCATCGACTTCGACTCGAGCGACTCCGATCGAAAAGAAAACGAAATGCGCGCTCCACTGCGGTTTCACTTTCATTCGCAACGCGCACGCGCAGCTGACAGGGTCGCCAGCGTAGAGTGCTCCCCCAAGCTAAGCCTAACTCAAGTGGAGACAGTTCCGAAAACTCAAGCTCCTCTTATTGCAAACGATAGTTTCTCGGAGTTCATTGAAAACTATTTGTGCTGCTTGCTCTGAGTCCTCAAATATATTGATTGCAACAGTAGCAACAAAGTTTGTTTTAAAGTCAGCTTAAACGTGTCTCGAAAAGTGTTTCAGAGTGAGATTTAATTGTGTTATAAGCCATATTAATAATTAAGTGTATTCATTTCACTGCGTTACTCCCTAAACCATTCGCCTGTAATATTTAATGGATGCAGGTAAATTAATAATCAAATGATGCATTTTAAATGCACATTAAGCGTGGGAAAATGAAATGATTTCAATTATAAATAAATTTGCCGGTCAAAACTGTTAAAGCGAAAGGAATTGACTGCTAAACTTACATTATTATTATTAAATTATTTTTTTTTTGTTTAAGCATGGCTTTAATTTATTTTAAATGTATGAATACAAATTAAAGAAATTTAATATTGACTTAAATAACCAAAAATAAATCTAATACAGATATTCTTAATAAAACAAGTTAACTTACTTGATTTGTTATTTAAACTGTAACCACGATATAAATTTATTTGCCAAAGTGGAATTTTTTTATCATTTTATAATTGGTTCACATACTTTCGCGGTTTAGGTATGATGTTTCTCATTGAAATGTAAATACAAAAAAAAAAATTTTTTTATTTTTAATATATCATTAAAATCAATTAAAAGTTTTTGGAATATTAATGAATGTTTTTTCAGACACTAACAAAAAAGTCGTTAATATTTTAAATTATTTTGATTAATCAAATATAATTAAAAAAACAAACATTGTTTGTAATTTGGAATGCAATATTTCTTCTCAAATTAATATCTGTACATTTTTAAATAGTTATTAAATTTCATAAAAAATCTTATCTTTCCCATTGGCGCTAAAATTCCAATTATAAACAGAAATTGTTTTCTTTCGAAAGTAACTTGCAAAAACTGTGTTTATTATTTCCTTTGCAACATTTTAAAATTATAACAATTATGTGAACGGCTTATTCCAAATTTATTATTGGTCTTGTACGTGCGCAGAAATTGATTATCAATTGAAACAGTTTCATTTTGGCTTTATTCGAAAGTGGACGAAAATTACATTATCATTTGAGAAAACTAATCTAGAGTAGAAATTTGAGTATTTCGAACTTCGCTTAGGCAGCACCTGTTTTCACAAAATTAACTTGATTGATTTGTTGTTGTTGGTGCTGTTGTTGTAATTTGGCCAACATGTTGTGCGGCTAAGTGCACGGTAAGTGCTTCGGGCCAAAACATGAATGCGGCAAGTGAAATATGTTTTGGCATGCATATTTAATGCCTATCAAAGCTGAACAACAACAGTCACAGCAGCACCAGTGGCAATAACTATGTGAAAACCCGTTCCGAACCATTTTAAACGCCATCAATTTCAATTTTCCAAATTAAATGTGCGTCGACATGTAGTCGGCGGCTTCTCGACCATCGGCTGTAAATAGTTAATAATTTATTACGTTGCGGCGACTGCAATGACATAAGCCCACAGCAAATGCCGCTAAGTTCAACAACTCGCAATGAAAGCGAAAAGCGACAATGAAGAAATCTTTAGGGAAAATTCACACAGCGAAAGAGAAAGAAAAACGCTAAAAAGCTAAAACGCTGAAATGCCAAAACGTCACAGCGAGCGGAGCCACTTAGGAAAAATCATCATCGAAACATATCGCGAATATCAAACAGACCCGCCAGTAGAAGAGCGTGGCTCCTCTCCGCTTTGGCTTCGGCTTTAGCTTCGGTTTCTGTTTTTGGGAGCCCAACTGGCTTGACGGCTTGCCAGAGGCAACAAGCAGTAAAGTGTCGGGCTGGAGGAATTCATAGTTTTGGGGTTATTCACACCGAAACTTAATGCTCTTTTGGCCATTTCCGTACAGCGTTGCTGACATGTGGCCTAAACTTCAACTGCTAGCAGCGTCGGCCGTTGTCATTGGCATCTGTCTGCTGGCTACAGCCAAAGTAACCCACGCATCGACATCCACTGGCAGCACCACCACCCTGCCGCTGCCCCTGCAACCGCCCGCAACACCACAGAATGCGACAACGCCAACGAGCAAAGACAACAGCGACAACTCCGATGACGCTTTGACTGACAGTCTGGAGGCGGTGGTGAGTCCAAGTTTGCTGAGAGATTTTGACAGGTAATGAGAGTCACTTTTGACAGCTTAATAAGCAGGCAGGAGCCAGAGCTCTGGAGGTCAATGATGATCTGCCCCAGGCCAGTGAAGTGCTTAGGGAAGCGGAGCTGAAAGCAATCGAACAGACAACGCAACAATTTGTGGGGTGAGTTAATTGTAATTAAAAGGAATCTCCATCGACATTCTACTCAAGAGGTAGAGAGAGAGAGTTGTTAACGGATTGTGTGTATAGAAAATAGTCTATAAAATATTTAACGCATTTATGAGGTAAAAATATAAATATATAAATTTCATGTAAGAGCTAACAAAACTTCAGCCTCTCTTCAGATAAGTTTGCATCTAGAATCCAAATAATTAAAAGATATTTTTAATTTATTAAATAAAATAAAATAAATATTAAAGAAAACATAATTTTTATTACACAGAATAGCACACGATATTTTTAACGAACATCACTTTATCGAACATTATTAATTTTATTCTATTCCTATGTCCGAAACATCGCAGAGTGCCTGGTTTTCTCCCCACTGTGTTACCGAATCAAGAAGACAGCAGCAGCCTTGGGACACCTACAAATGGACATGGCTATATACAATTTGATATCAATGAAGAGCAGCCCAGGGAAATTGTGAGTCGCAATAGACAGCCCAAGTCGAAGAAGGACACAGTGAACGAGGTGCTCTTCAATCTTTTTCCGAATGGCTTCTCCGACATCTTTCGCTATAGCGGCAGTGAGGCCAACACAGAGGCAGTCACAGATGAACCAAGCACAACAACAACAACAACTACAAATAGCGCCGTGGTGCATGCCACAACTGCGTTGGAGTCAAGTGTCCCAACAGAGCCCACAGCGTTACCGCCCAAGAATGAGACCTATTACAGCTACCAGACGACGGTAACGAAGGAGTATCGACGCGAACTTCGACCAGGGCACACACAAATTGTGGTGGAAAAGGTCAGCAGTGCTGAGCGAGAACCGTTTAGGGACGGCAGTAATCACATCTCTCGGGATGAGCTGATGCGCATTAATCGTGCCGCAGTCGCATCTCCAGTTTTACCAAGTTTGCTGCTGCGTCCCCAGACCGAAGGTGAAGACAATGAAACTCTCGTCGCCGCCGAGAGTGCACCCATTGTCATACTCGGCGAGGCAGAGCCCGAATTCGAGGATGGCCAGAGCATTGAGGACAACCAGATTGCAGAAACACGTCACATGGATCAGCAGCTCTACGAGCGTCGTCTGCCTGCCCCTGCTCTTAGCTCTGACTCTGTCTCTCATACTATTGAGAGCTACAACAGTCAGAAAGGTCCAGCCGAAAAGCAAGAAATCAATGTCCACATTGTACACGACGAGTCGTTGGCAAAGATACCAAATGAACCCAAGTCCCAGGCTCAACAGCAACTAGATCACTTCCAGGCTCACAGTGAACAGCGCTTCCAGCAGCACCATCAAATGCAAGAGGCACCGTCTAGGCAGTTTCTGAAAACTTTCAAGCCCATAATATCTGATAGTGCCAACGGGCCGATACAGAAAGGCACCTTCCATTACGAGGCCAACAATCCAACCCAGCAACGCATAATTGCGAAGCCGCCTAAGGAAATTGCCTATGAGAGTCCGTTTATTAGACCCGCTGCCCAATTGAGCTATCAGCAGGAGTCGAATCTTCAGCAACCACAGTCTGAGTCGCAAAACCCACAATCAAAGCTTAATACACAAGCAATTCCGTCGCCTTCTTCAAACAACGCTCCCACGCCTGCACCCAGCGAGTACTCCAATTATGGGGGACCCACACCCAGCAGCTTGCTCTATGTGACGGTAAACTCCCATAACCCGACACCAACTTCGCCGGCCCCTCAGCATGCAGACGAGCAGCCGGTGCCGCAACTGCCCAGCCCACATGAATATGTCTCTGAGGCAGCTGCGGAGCCCTCCCAGCATAGTTTGCAGCACGCTGTTCCACCCAAGTCCATTTCCAATTTACATTCTCAGCCTGAAACTCAGCTGTTGGTTAAGCCCAATGGCTACACATTCGTCGAAGTGCAAAAATCGGTCAACATCCACAACAAACTCATTACGGAGAAGGATGGTCGTTTGGTAGAGATGCATGAGACCATTTACCAACCGCCGCCCTATGACCAGAACTACTACAGTTCTCCCTCTTTGGGCTACAGTCCCAAAGATTATGTCTCTGCACCATCTGCAGAGGCACCACCATCACACCCAACTGCAACTAACTACGTCTCCCTAGCCGCGAATCCCATCAATGTGGAGCAGGTGGAGAACGACAGCGCACCGCAAGAGGGCGCCATATCTCATGCGACCATTAACATTGATGTTCCTCATCATTCTGCTGGCCATGTCTCAGCAGATACACACTATGAGGCACCACCAGTAACTGTGGTAGAGAAGCATGTGCCGCAGCCGTATGCGGTGCCGGTTGAAAAAATCGTCGAGCGGCCCGTGAAGCAAATTGTGGAGAAGCACATCCCAGTGCCATATGCTGTGCCCCAGCCGGTGCCGGTCCCCGTACATGTCGAACACTATGTAGATCGCCCCTATCCAGTTGAGACCATTGTCGAACAGCCAGTGCCTTATCCCGTAGAGACAATTGTGGAGAAGATCGTAGAGAAACAGGTGCCCTTCGAAGTGGAACGCATTGTTGAAAAGCCCGTCGAGGTTGAGAAGATTGTTGAAAAATACATAGACCGTCCCATGGCCATACCCATTCACGTGCCTGTCGCCATACACATGCCAATGCCTCCTAACCACTCACCCGGCTTCAACTTCGCCAACCATCCAAATGCCCTGCATCCCTGGACGCACGCCTCGGTTGCCCATATTCCACCAAAAGTTCTACAGAATTATTATACGCGCATGTTGAAAAAGCTTCTGCCACAGTTTACGGCACCAAAAGTAGCCACAAAAACTGCTGCCAAGACGACCGCAAAGACCACGGCCAAAGCGGTGCTTGTGAAGCCGCCGATAAGGCCTGTGCGTGGCGAGGCGCCCAAGGTGGCTACCTTCAGCCTGGCGGACATGCGCTTCGACCTGCGTCCCCCGCCGCCGCCGCTTGGCTCACCTTGGCTGCAGGGGGCACGCTATATATACAATACCCTACCGTCCGACTTGTCTGCTGCAGCTGCTTCGGCGCCCGCCCACATGGTCAAGTCCTACATTGGGCCCGTGCCCACGACCAGCACAACCAACGACAACAACGGCAGCGAATTTGATGAGTTCCAGCGCTGGCGCAATGGCCACAGCCTCAAACGTAGTCCCGAATTCGGGCGCAATCTGCACATGGAATATGGCTTCAAGCCGCCCTTGGTGCCGTCCGTAGAGATCGATGATAAGGGCATGCCCCTTAAGCAAGCGGAGCCAGAGGTGCAATAGTGCGAAGATGTTAAGCAGTTAAAAGAAAAGCGTGCCAAAATATACAGCTATTAGTTATTATTGTCTATTTATATAAAATATATTAAAAGCGCATTTAATAAAATTGATATTAAACCAAACCAAAAATTCATTTGGCCAGGCTGAAAATGTTGTGAAGCGAACCTCGCTGTGCACTGTGCTCAATCAAGCTGAGCAGAGTCAGATATCTATCTTCATAATCGTTTGCCACGCAGCAAAATCTGGCTCCTACAATTAGGCGCAATATTAATTAAACAAATGACAATGACAGCAGCGCTGTGGGACTGTACCTCATGTGTTGCATGTTGTTGTCTGTGGTGTTGGGTCCAATTAAAACTAAGCCCAAAAGCGGATTCTGCAGAAAAAGGGGGAAAAAATTATTAATTTTCTTAAGTAGCATTTATGTAAATGAAAAATGCTACATGTGAATATGAAGGGTTGCGCTGCCCCAAGTGCCTTATCTTGAAAATGGCAAGCGAACAGGCTCCGGCGTCTGCGCCAGCCCCGACTACAAATTTAAAATGGCGGCACGTCTTCAGGAGGCAGAGGGCGACAGCGTGCAAAGATTTATATGACAGCTAATAAATTTACAACACATGTAGCTCAAGATATTAGAAATATTTTTGGTGACAAGCGCTGGGGCGTGGGCGTACACGTACGACGGGCTTTTGAATGTTATTGAAGCATGCTTTTAGGCGGCGCGACAAAATATAAAAAAAGCAGCCTCGCAAATATTTGCAGAGCGCGTCGCAGGGCACGTCGACCCACGACTGCAGTTGACATCTGACGGCAACAAACTGTCAATAGTCAAGCAGCAACAGCAGCAGCAGCCGTAGCAAGAAGGAGCACGACGAACAGGCTCTGCCTGCCAGGCAGACAAACCGTTTAGCGCACGTGTTGGCGGAAACGGAAGCACTACAGCAACGCGCCAAGTGGCAAATGGCAAATGGCGAATGGCAAATGGCAAATGGTGAATGGGGATGAGGGCATTTTGAAAAGTTATGACAATGGACCCCAGTGCCTATGCCTGATTCATGTTGTTCATAAACGCCATAAAAAAGGATAAGATGGTTAAGTGCTTCGCCTGTCTGCTGAATAGACTTGCATTAACTATGAATATGAACATGAGTATATATTTGAAAATAATATATTTTTTAACACGACTGTTTGATAAAGAATTTCGATGCAAGTTCATGATTTGATGTTAGTTCAGTTATTAACACTGCACTTGGATATGTTATTCTAACGGTTTAGCTTTAGATATTATTTGAAATCAAATATTTTCAGCATTGATTTAAATATTTATCTGGCAGCTTGAACTCAACCTAAGCTATGCTCACATACAATTTTAACCACAACTTAAAGCCATATTCAAGGAAGTGGCATACCTCAAATGCATTTGGCAAAGAGAAAAAGTAGCTCAAAATAATTTATAATTTGGAATTTGCAATTTGAAATTCATGCGAATGCAGCAAATTGAAAATTTCAGCACTAATTCGCAATGTGTGCATGGGCAATTGAACCAAAGTGCGCTTCTTTTGACACACATAAATTGGCAACTGCTGCCCGAACGCCCACCATCGCCCCTTGACCTTTGCTCTGCCGCCCTCTGCTACTCTGGCTGGCTGCAGCAGCAACTGGAACTGCATGCAAATGCAATTTTATTTAACTTGTGCCAAATACGCAGGCATAAATCAAAAATTTATCGCATCGCCACGCCCCACTTTGGACGCAGATATATATGGTTATCAGAAATCAATTGCAGCCCACAATGCATTCAGCATTTTGATAGACTCCATGGGCGGTGGAGTGGGCACAATGCAGCCAGCAAGAAAGATAAGCCAAGGAACAATTGAATAATTTATATGCAAATAAATAAAAGTATTTCGACAATTCATTCGGCATGCAAAAGCATGCAACACAAAAATGCTCCAAGTCGTTCGCCCGTTTGCTGCATATAAAAAAGCGTGTGAAATATATTTTCAGGCCATGCCACAAAAGGCGTAACACATACTACAACAACAACAATAAATAGCTCCTGCTGCAACTATTGGCGACGGCAGCGTCGACGCTTCCAACTTGTTTTTTTTTCTAGTGGCGGCATTTTCCACCTCTGTCTCCCCCTACGACCATGCCCAGTTTTCCATGCTCGACGTTGTCGTCGGCCTTTTTGGGGCTAGGCTGCTGCCGCTGCCGCTGCCGCTGCATGTCATTGTCAGAGGCTGCCAACTCTGCGTTTGATATACGATTTGGAAGTGTTGGCAAGCCGCCCAGATGTCAGGCAGGCGGCCGGGCGGACGGCCGGGCTGCGCTGCTAGACAAATGCAGCTGAACCGAAAATTGCATTTCCGCTTTGAAAATTGCGCAAACTTCCGCACCGAAAGTAGGAAAAAAACACATCGAGCTAACCACCGAGTACATCGCACGAGCCGCCACGTCGCCAGACAATTGGCAAAAATTTTCTATAAAAGTGTGAAATAGGCCGGCCGTCTGCCAAAGAGGGCCTGACATGCCGTAAAGTGGCCCCAGTGAACCACAGAAAACTTGTCACACAAAAATGAACGCAAAAATGTCAAAAGCACACACACACACCCACACACTATACACACACAGCCGTCGAAAGAATGAAGTGCAGTGGTCGCCGTGGGGGTGTGTGGCTGGTGCGGCGGGTTTAGGAATTCGGACAGGTCTAACGAAGCGAAAAAAAAACATGTGTCAAATGCTATCTAAAGCGAATCTCATATGCTCTTACTATGTAAATTGAACTAAAGCCGATATGAAAAATATTCCGAAATTCTAGAAATTAGAAAGTATTAAAAAATATTAATATTTAAATAATAAAGTAATACCAGCTAAAAATAATTTAAATTTATAGCTAAACTATTATTAGGAATTGAATTTATTTTCTTAAAATTTATATTTTTGTTTATTCAAAAACTAAATTTTCTGTCTTATGCAAGAATTTCATCTAAAAGCTTTGCAAATACAAATGTTGAAATAAGAATGCATCAAAAATACTATTTTAGCTGTACTCCGATTCAAATTATGCCTTTCGTTTAAATATTTTATTTAAATTTTGTTAGTACTTATATTTTTCCCATTTTTCGGTTTTTGTTTTTGTTTTTATTGCTAAGGGAATTTTATAGAAATGTATATTAAACTAAAATAAGTTGCAAATATATCAAATAAATTCGAGTGCTATTTTCAGCGGCAAGTGTAAAGATGAAAATTGTTCTTTGGCAGCCGTCGCCTGACATGGGTTCGTGTCATGGCAAACTATTTGACTGGCCGTTCGAGCTGACTGCTTAGTGCTAATGGGCGACAATTTTGCGGTGATTGTGCAGCAGTCAAATTGCTCTTATCTATGGTCAGTAAAGTGCAGGTGTGAGGCATAGCACAAACCACAAGCACACACGCGCGCACACAAACACGTACAAGCGTTTCATTTGCCAGTTGCAGCTCAAAAAGTTTCTGACATTTAACTAGCGGCGACAACAAACGAACAAACAAACCTGAAAGCGCGCACAAACAGTCACACACACACACAGTCACATATACAAACACAAACATGTGTGTGTTTGTATAGGTATGCCACAGATTCCATTCAATCAGCGCCGCAGCAGCAATAACTGCAGAAACAAGTAAGAAAGCTCTACTCGGGGTGCCCGACTAGGAGATACCCTGATCCTAGTCCTTTGAGTTTTGTAATATTTTCCGTAGTTTGTATCGAGAATTAAAAAAAAAGAAAACAAATAAAAATCGACATTGCGAGACCAGGATTCGAACCCGGATTATTTGCGCAACGTGCACAAACTCTACCAACACCGCCACTTCATAACTAAAAAAAAAAAATAAAACAATAAAAAACATTTCATCTCCTCTGGTCTCGAACCCGGACCAAGCTGCATACGAGCGGCGCCTATACCAACGCAGCCACTGCCCTTCCTTCGCGAGTTGTTGCAAATTTGAACATAAGTAGCAGCTAATAATTCAGCACAATTCAATCGCAATTTCAATTCTTGGAATAGAAAAGAATGCACGCATTTGAATGTATGTGTGCACACGCATAGGAAAAATGCGTGCGCGTGGCGCTGCTGACATGTGCTTTTGCAAATTGGCCAAACGTTTTGTTTAATAACTTCTGTTTTACTTAATGGATTTTAATGAAACTTTCAGCATATGATCTACATATCCTATTGGCTTGGTTGAGATGCAAACGCCTTCACATAATGGCCCTAGCTCCAACTAAACTTAAATTCTAAGAATTTGGGGGAATTTGGAGCCGGTATCCAAAATCCAACAAAAATCAAAATTGCATAAAATATACATAAGACTAAATACAAAATTTGGAGGCTCTAGCTCTTAAGACTTTCGAGATATAATTTATTTACTGCATTTCAATAATGTTTTTATTCGATAACAATTAAATGCGAATAGTTATCGAATATTTGAAACAAACTTGACCTGCGCGTGCTATACACGGACCTACAAAAAAAATTTCAAGTCTCTAGCTCTTATAGATGCTGAGATCCACGCGTTCACACATACGGACAGACGGACAGACGGACAGACGGACAGACGGACAGACGGACGGACAGACAGACGGACAGGGCTCAATCGACTCGGCTTGTCGTCCTGATCAAGAATATATATACTTTATGGGGTCTGCCACGCCTCCTTCTGCCTGTTACATACATTTGCACAAAACCATTATACCCTGATTTCCCATTTTTAATGGGATCAGGGTATAAAAATGTCGAGCAAGAAGTTTGCCACGTGCTAACAATGTAAAGTGTCATAACTTTGCACTGTGGGCACAGGGTGTTTCACAACGTGTGCGAGAGAATAGGACAGCAGCAACACAATAGCAGCATTTATACTTTCAATAGCTACGAGCGAGCAGTGCAACACGAACGGCGATACTCAGTTAACAGCTGTTAAGTGTGTGATCTAGGCGCTGTTAAAGCAGTCAATTCGAAGCC